AGGATTTCTGCTGTTTGGAGCTTCTGGATTCCTGGATTATCGACAAATTTGTGACGGATTTCGCCGAACTAGCAAACACTCAGATTGTTGGTGTGAACAGAGACAAGGACTCTAAAATTCACTAACGAGTTGGAATCAATCTTGGAGAAGTTTGGTTCAGTGGAACGACCAAACTAATTTGGATGATTGGGAACTGAGATGTATCGGAGAGACTTTAGGGAAGATTGAAATTTATAATCTTCCCGACCTAAGACATTCTGTTTCTGAATTGGCTTTCCCCATGTGGCCTTGGAAGGGCTGCATTTTTCTAATCTCCTTGAAGATATATAAACACAACTCTCCTTCCCTCCTCACCCCCTCCTGTATCCATGGAGTTGAGAAGTTGAACGCTCCGAAGGACATCATGCCTTGATAACAACACCTCTATCGGACTTTGCCAGGAGGCTCAGTAACGTGGTTTCATGACCCTGTGACGTCACCGCCTTCACTCATGTCTTTGTTTTGCCGTTTGTTTTGTCTGAATGTTGCCATCTGCCCTAATGTGTCCTTTCCTCTTTTTTGTTTTAGAAACGGTGGAGTACTCCCTATTTAACCCAGAAAAGGATTATTTTAGTTTATTAGTAATATTAGAAACTGTGGAGTACGCACTATTTAGATCAATATTATACAGCCCAGAAATGGAATCAGAATTAGAATTAGAATAAATATGAACTTGGAATCCAGAAATACTTAACAGGAACAGTCACTGTTTAGTTTATACTTTACTTTAAACACAGAAAAGGATTTAGAACAAACTTAGAATTGTGGAGTAGTCACTTTAACCCAGAAAAGGATTTAGATCAGTCATTCTTTAGCTTATCTTATCAGAAACTGTAGAGTACTCACTATTTAGAAATGGAATTAGATGCTTTACAACCCTGAACAGGAGCACTTAGTTTACATACTTTAGAACACATGTGTCAAACTCAAGGCCCGCGGGCCACATGTGGCCCGCNGGGTCCGGTGTGAGCTTTAAGGATTTTTTTTATTTAATTTTTTTTAGCTTTTCCGAAACGGACAGATGTTACGTCTGCAGCTCCTCCAGAGCGCCGCTCTCCTGCGTAACGTGAACCCAGAAGGCTCCATTTGTTAAATCCGCTGGATGAGTTACTCCCAGCGGTTTCTAATTCTTCGCAGTGGCGTAGCGTAACTGCCTCCGCAGTGGTTGAGCAGTGGACTGCGCATGTTACAGTCTAATTAACTTTTGCATCGTCATTTATTTCCTCAAGATAAACTGCCGGCTCCTCAAATGGATTAACACAACGTTGCATTCTCTTTAGTTTTCTCTGGTCTGTAATGGAGACTTAAATTTAACGCGCCATTTCAAACAAAGGTTTCGAATGCGCTTCCTAACCAGAAGCTCCAAAGAGTTATTTAACAATATGAGGTGTTCAATTTATTTTTAACATTGTATTTT